CATCAGGAAGGTCATTTATGAAAATTAGGAACAATGAACGTCTAAGGGTTAAGTCCTGGGGAACACCTGAATTGATATAAAATGATCTAGAGGAGTGGCCATTCAAGATAACTTTCATTCAGTTCAGAAATACGCTCAGAAATACCAGTCTTTTTCCTTGTGAAAAAGACCGGTATGCCAAACCCTATGAAATGTCATCGAGATATCCAAAGCAATAGCCCGATATTTCTTATTTCTTATCTTTTAGTGGGATGGACTGTTTCAGCAATGATTGTTAATATATCAACAGTATTAAATTCAAAATGAAAAGAATGAAAAGAAAATTTCTCATTTTTTTATCGCAACTGAAAAAAATACAAAAACCAAGATATATACTCAAGATGAAGCGTTACTAAATAAAGTTGTTTATTAGGACGATTAAATGAGAGCTGTTCCGAGTTTTGAGGCGTTAAATTTAGCACGCCATTCTTTGCCTCTTTAACAACAAAACATAGGTCGTTTTTTTTTTTTTAGATCAGCTGCCAATTTGACCTTATCGAACCGACCAGACTTACAATAAAGACAAGTCAAATAGTTGTGTCATCAGCGTTGATACTGAGTTGAGAACTAATATCAGGAAGATCGTTGATGAAAATTAGGAAGAACGTAGACCCACTCATCGCTAAAAACTAAAGAATAAAATATTCTATACGTAAATCTGTCGCTGATCCAGGTGGATATACCGATTGAGATCGAAAAACAGGAAAAGCGTCTAGATTCTGCGAGAGAAATGGAATACATCGGTGGAACAGGAAGTTGACAGCTGTACCCATCAATACTGACAAACTTGGAACAGTCACTAAGAGACTTACAAAGCTTAAAAGAATAATTGGAAATTCTCAAGAGAACTGAAAAGAAATACAAGGCCCAAGATATATACTAAAGATGAAGCGTTACTAAATAAAGTTGTTTATTCGGAAGATTAAATGACAGCTGTTTCGAGTTTTGAGGCATTAAATTTAACATGCCATTCCTTGCCCCAGTTAACAACAGAATGTAGTTTTTTTTTTTTTTTAGATCAGCTGCCAATTTGACTTTATCAAACCGACCAGACTTACTATTAAGAGAAGAGTAAATAGTTGGGATCAACATATATACCGCGTTAAAAACTGACAACATCAAGAAGTTCAAGGATAGAGTCCTGGAAAACACCTGCGTCAATGCAAAGGATCTAGAAGAAGACCGTTCAAGATAACATTCATTTCCTAAAAATTAATTTTTTTGAAGTTAAAACATTTCAGGTGTTTAACCCAAATAGGGGGCCGGTTATTGTTTCATCAATTTGTTTGAGTGAGTACACATGCTCCTGATTGTGAATGTAATGAATATTTGCACGTCTCTTTTATAATATCCGTTCAGTATTATGCAAACCTCACACAGAACAGAGAATTGGCGTCTTACCTGAAAGGATGGTACATTGATTTTGTCTGTAGACAGATGGAGGCCCTTGCCCAGGATTGCAACAAAATGATTTTTATTTTGGAGTCTGGGTTTCGGATAACACACAATGCTCGAATATTGGTTGAATATGTGTAGTGAAAAGTGTTTTTAACTTTTCTGAAGTAAGATGACTGAAATTGCGGTTCAACCAATCAGGACTTAAGTAAGAAATGGATAGACAATAAAACAGGACTCGATTATAAAGTTGCTACAATTAGCGAAACAAAGCGTTTGCGCTTAAGTTTCTAAAAATCCATCATAAAAATATGGAATAGATATGGTCAACTGAAAAATTACGTCAATTGATTTATATTTGAATAAAATATTCTCACATGTAGAAATATTGTTTTTATTGTTGCTTGACGGATTCATTTGTTTTGTATTGATTTCTTGATATATTTGTTGTGTATGTTGGCCTGGGAGAATAGTGATTCTGTTAGGAAAGGCGATATTGGGGGAAAAAACGGGTCTTAGATTAATATTTAGATTTGCCCTGACAAAAATCCACATTGGATCAAACACGTCGCCTAAAATAGTTTTCCTATTGTCTTTTTTCCATTATAAAAATTGTCTTTTACTGCAGGTTAAGTCTGAGAAATTTATAATTATTTATTCGAAATTTATAACATAAATATGTTATAAAATCACTACAAAAATAACCATTTTCTTTCAACACTTCTGGTGATTTATCAAATGATGATGTTGAATGTAGAATGTAGAATAAATATATTCTATATTCTACAAATACATTCAAGTGATGATGTTGAATGTAGAATAAATATATTCTATATTCTACAAATATATTCAAGTGATGATGTTGAATGTAGAATGTAGAATAAATATATTCTACATTCTACATTCAACATCGTCACTTGATAAGACACCAGAAGTGTTGAAACAAATTGGCTATTTTTGTAGTGATTTTATAATATATTTATGTTATAATTTTCGAATAAATAATAGTATTTGTCTCTATGGTATTGAGCACTCTTTTAAGAATAGTATTAGTTGATTATTGAATTTATTCCACATATTGAGAATCTTTTAATATATATATATATATATATATATATATATATATATATATTAGGTCAAATTGTAATAGATTGCTCAATACACAATTTTAAAAAAATTAACGTTCAGTGCGGATAATAATAAAAAAAAAATGAAAAAATTATGAATTTTTGATACCTTGTTTTCAACATTGTTGCTTTCGGTCTCATCAGGTTAATCTGGTTAATAATTTATTTGGAGCGCTATTCAAGCCCACTTATATAACTTAACTTGGCGCCACAAAGTAAAATGATCAGGTGAAGGGTGAGGAAAGAATGGCAAGAACCGGAAGAAAGAGAGAGAGAAAGAAAGAAAAAAAGTTTCGTAAATATCATCATCCAGGTTTGTATTGCGTCATAGTATTTTTATTAACGTGTCTGCTTTTAGACATCACTTCAGACCGTTCATTCAACAACTTAACCGACTTTTCCTCTTCACACAACCTACAAACACAAAGACTTAACCCTTCTCAGAGCACTCCAGATTATACTGGGGCTTCTATTACATCCCTTTTTGCACTTCCACATATGGCTGGCCAGCTCGGAGCAACGCATATAGCTCTCCAATTTAATACAATACCGACGATTATACCACTATGGAGGGTAAATAAAATCAACAATCTCTTTCTGATTATATAAAAAAATGATTTCACCCCTAAGACGATGTAGATTATCTGTACCTACCTAGGTCAGCTATAGCTAGAGAATTGATTCAACTGGAACACGAAAATCAGAGAATGATCTTAAGGCTGGTAAAATATCTCTGGTGAATAAATCACTGGATATTAAAGCTTGTTTACTAGAATGAATCAACCAATATCCAATAATTAAGTAATGGCAGAAATTCAGATTTACCTTTTGAAGAGAAATTGTTACACCCATTGGCTATAAAACTTGATCATGAAACAGCGTTTCCTGAAAGCGAATCAGACAGAAGAGTACAGAAATTCTAGAAGCAATATAAGGCAAGAGATCTAGTAACCAGAAACGAACAGAAACCATAAGAAAGGAAAATGTTTTGTCGAATTAAAAACGATAAAAATGAATAGCGACTCGGATTGAGGAATCAAAGAGCCGAGTTCGAATTCCAATCGAATCTATTACATTCACTTACGTGCTAATACCCATGGGAAATATATGAATCCTCCTCTTTCCCCCGCAGCTATGGGTAAATAGCAGGATAGACCAGGTTCTATAGACTTGGATGGCAACTGGTCAACCGCAGAAAAAATGGCAACTTACTACGGAAAAAAAAATCTGCCTCGTCAATCATGTATCGAAAGATATATGATCGCCTAAGCGTGTATCATGCAGGGCACATAACTGACTCAAAAATGAATGTCTAAAGTTATAAGCTATTAAAGGCTTAACAATACCTATTGTTGCATATTCGTTTAATGCACGGTGGAGTAATGGATAGCGGCTTGGATTGAGGAATCGGAGAGACGAGTTCGAATTCCAGTCGAATCCATAACATTCACTTACTTGCTAATACCCTTGGGGAAGGTGTGAATCCTTTTCTTCTCCCCCCAGCTATGGGTAAATAGCAGGACAGACTGGCTTCTATAGCCTTGGATGGCAACTGGTCTAGGAGAAGGAAAACTCTGAATTCAAAACTTGCGGAGGGTGAATGGAGTCTCTCTGAGCCTTGGTTGGCAATCCATTTAGTGTTGGTGTCACGATAAAAAACACCCTTGATAGCCCGAGCGAAGCATCAAGAATTCAGCTACTTGACAAGATTATGAACTACACCAATCAAAGTATTAGTGAGTTCAATCTCGGCTGAGGCCGCAAGATGATGATGATTAATGTGATAAATTGAACTCTTGAAAATGTCTTCACACATTATGAAATGGGCAAAGAATGTATAAACATAAAAAAAATGTCTTGAAAAATGTGTAGAGAATATTGATTGTGAATGATTCGTTTTTTTTCTTTTTTCCAAGTTTAGATCAGCCGGCATTATCAAGTAGTCACCCATTTAGGTACTGACCGGGTTCGACGTTGCTTAATTTCGGTGATCGTACAGGAACTGGAGTTTCAACGTGATATGGCTTATGCAATAGGGATAAATAAGAATAACGAGAAAGAGAGTGGAGGAGGAGAAAGTTAATTTTTGGCACTACAAAAAATATTTTAAAAAAGGCCGAAAAATTGATGAATAAAAGAATGGAAAAAAAAAGAAAAATACTTAAAAAAAAAAAAATAGATAAACTTTAAGAAAGAAATCACTACACGCAAGCCGGTAGTAGCCCGCTGGTGTGCCGCCGATGGCAATGCCAGTGGTTTTCTGGCGGCAGCCACCAGAGGATCACTGGGCCTATAGCGGTCCGACAGTGGTAAGATTACCGAGAGGAACACGCCAGCGGTCCGACAGCGGGGCCACCAGCGGTAAACGCTAGCGGCATGCCACAAAATGGCAGGTCGGTGGCTTGTATGTAGGGGAAAAGGAAAGAAAGGAAGTAGAACAGAAGACAAAGAAAAAAGAAAAGAAAGTGAGAGAGAGAGAGAGAGAGAGAGAGAGAGAGAGAAAGAGAAAGAAACTGAGGGAAGGAAAGAAAGAAGTGGAAAAGGAATAAAGAAAAAAATAAAATAAAGAGACAGAAAAGAAAAGAAGTAAAAGAAAAATAGGAGGGAATTAAAGAACCAGACAGGAAAAGGAGGAAGAAAGAGAAAGAAAGACTTGAATTAGTAAAAAAAAGGAGAAAGAAAGAAAGAAAGAAAGAAAGAAAGAAAGAAAGAAAAAAAGTAACAAAATATGCAAATAGAAATAGCGAAAATAGAAAGAAAAAGTACGAATGTATGAAAGAAAATCCAAAAATAGAGAAATAAAAAATATAGGGAAAATGACATGACATCTCTCACACACACACACACACACACACACACACACACACACACACACACACACACACACACACACACATATATATATATATATATATATATATATAAAATAAATAGACAAAATTAATTTTATTACCATAATCATGATAATAAAAAAAAAAAAAAATAAAAAACGGGCTAGCTAAACGGTTTCGAACCTCGATCAACGGACCTAAATCGAGGTAAATAATCTAAATTATTTAAAAAGAAAAATGGACAAAGTGTATTGGGGAGAGAAAAAAATTCGACAGTTCGACATTGTTGTTTTCTCTACCAAGCCTGTCCTTTCGTCTATGCGTAAGGATGCTCTCCCTCCACATCATAATAGTTCTTTGATTTATTCTTTTAAATATAGCTGTGGTTCGCACTACATAGGGAGAACGACTCAAAGGCTGGATGCAAGAATAAAGCAACACGTTCTAGCGAAAATCCGAGTAGACTCCTTCGGACATTTTGACCAATACATACGGGTCTTCCATCGCAGAACACTTAATAAATAGCCATAATTGTTATTGTTAGTTTTAATTAATTTTACCATCCTTAGCAAGTCCCACAAATTACCAAAATAAAAGTGTGGGAGGCCATTTATATTCTATCATTAAAAAAAATATGTAAACAGAAGGACTTTGTATTAGACCTCCAACTAATTACCATCTATTTTTTTTCTCCCCAATACACTTTCTCCATTTTTCTTTTTAAATGACTTAGTTTATTAATCTCGATTTAGCTCTGTTGAGCGAGGTTCGAAATCGTTTAGCTAGCCCGTTTCTCAATTTTACATTTATTATCATTATGAGTAGTCATAATAAAAAAATCTATTTATGGCATTTAAAGTTTTGTAGCACTTTATTTATATATATATATTTTTTATATATATATAATATATATATAATATATATATGTCAAATTTATTTATAGAAAATAGGAAGGAATACAGGTAAATATCCAAAGTCCCTTAGTATTTTATATTATTTTTTTAAATAGTGTTGATATAAAAATTTATAAATATAATTAATTTAAAATATGATTCCAAAACGTGACATAGACCATAATATCTTCCGTTTCAAATTTATTATGACTGTTATCTATGGAAACTCTATATTTGATTATTAAATTATTAAAACACGTAAATTTCATGAAATTTTGTTATTCCAAAAAAAAAAAATTTGAAAATGGAACAGAGCTTGAAGATGGAACAGAGCATCTCAATTTAATTCAAATAATTATATTGAAAACATGAGACCTCTTATGTCGCGAGTTGGAATCATATTTTTAAATAAATAATTATATTTATATATATATATTTATATATATATATTTTTATTTATAATAACTAAAAATACTAAGGAATTTTTAATTATTTATATAACCAGTTCTTTCCTATTTTTTATATATTTTCACATTTTAAAATATATTATATATATTGTTTATATATTTATATTATATATAATGTATTCGAAAAAATAAATATATATATCTTTTATATATAAAATAAATAAAATTTATATTTTGTATAATATTTAAATATTTTCATATATTGATATGTAAAATTTATTTTATAAATGACATATCATATTTTTAATAAAAATTCATTTTGAGATTATTTTATCAATTTATATATATTTTTATATTTATTTTTATATATAAATTTATATTTTAAAATATACGTGTATATAATATGTGATTTAAATATATAAATAATTTTTAAATTGTAAAATTATATCCAATTTTAAAAAAACAATTTATTTTTTTTATTTATAAATTTTCAATTTTTCATATAATCAAATTTTATTATATATAAATATATAATATATATATATATATATATATTTTAATATATTAATTTTTTTATAAAAATATAAATTTTTTAAAATATAAATTTTTTGTTTTTTAATTATATATTTATTTTATTAATATATTAAATTAAAATATTTTATAAATATTTACATATATAATTTTCCATTATTTATATATAAATAAATATTTTTATTAAAATTTTTTTAAAAACTTAAATAATTCCTTTTTTTTTTTTTTGTAATTTTAATTTTTTATATAATAAAATATTCTTGATAATTTTTCCTTTTTAAATAATTATTTTTTGAATTTTTTTAAATTATTTTTAAGTATTTTTTATTTAAATTTATAAAAAAAAATTGAAATCATATTTTAATAATTTTTTCCTTAAAAAAATTAAAGAATTTATATCAAATTTATATATAAATTTTTGAAATTTAAAAAATTTAAATTTATCTTTATAATTTTTTTAATTTTTAAAAAAAAAAAAAATTTATTTTTTATATCAATTTAATAATTTTTTTATTTATATACAAAATCATAGATTAAATTTATTTTTAAAAATATATATTTTATTTTTTTTTTTAAGTAAATAAAAATTTATTTAAAAAATTAAATTATTTAAAATTATATTAAAAATTTTATTTAAATTAATAAAAAAGCATTTTAAAATAATTTTTATTATTTTGAATTCTTTATTTGTTAATTTAAAATCAATTCAATTTTTAAATTTTTTTTTTATCTATTTGTATCTTAACAAAATTTTTTTATATTTATATTTATAATATTTAAAATATATTTTTTATTTAAATTTTCATATACATTTATTCATATATATATTAAATTTTTGAAATTAAATTTTAATAAATTAAATTTTTTAATGTTCAATGTTTAATTAATTTAAATATAAATTTTTAAATTCAAATTTTTATTTAATAAATTTCATCATGAAATTTATTATTAATTTTTTTAAATAATTTATAATTATATTTTAAATTGTATATATTTATAACTACATTATATATTTTAAATTAATAAATTTAATTTTTATAAAAAAATCTTTTTTAATTTAATTATTGTTTGTTTAATTAAATTTTTCTTTTCTTTTAAATTTTTTTAATTTTTTTATTAATTAATAAAAAAAAATTTTTTTTTTCTAAAATTTTTTATTGATTTTAATGTAAAAATTATTCTAAATTTTTTTTTAAAATAGATATATTTTATAATATTTATTTAATTTTTTATATAAATTTATATTTTTTTATTGATAATATATATTATATATTCAATATATTTTCATTATAAATTTTTTAATTTGTTTATTTATTAATTATTAAATTTATTTCAACAAAAAAAAAATAAATTCATTTTTTAAAGAAACATCAAATTTTTCAATTTTTTAAAAAAAAAATTATATTTAAATTTTTTTTTTTATAATTTTACAATTAAATTATTTTTTTTTTTTTTAATTTTTATTTTTCTTTTGAAATTTTTTTGATTTTTATAAAAATATTTTTCATAATTTTTAAATCATTTTTTTAATTTTTTGAAATTAAAAAAAAATATTAAGTTCTTCTAAAAAAACATTTTCTTTAACTCTTCTAATTTAATTTTAATTTTTATGTATTTTTCAATATTTTCTAAACATTTTTATTTAAATTTTGTTTTTTTAAAATTAAAAAAAAATTTTTTTATTTGAATTTTTTTTTTTTTTGAAAGGAATTTGTTTTTTAAAAATGTATTTTCATTCAAATTTTTGATTTTAAAAAAAAAAATTTTTAATTTTTATAAAAAATGTAAAAAAAAAATCTTTTTTTTTAATTTAAAAATATTTTTATTCATATAAAAATCATTTTTAATTATATAATATTTTTTTAATATTTTATTCTTTTTTTAAATTTTTTTATATCATCAAATTTAAAAAAAATTTTATTTTTCTAAAATTTAATAAAAAAAATTTCATTTTATTTTTATTAATTTAAAAAAAAAAATTTTTTTTTTCATTTTTCTATATATTTTCAAATTTTTTTTTGATTTTAATTTCCTAAAATTTTAATTTCCTTTTTGAAAAAAAAAATTTATAAATTTAATGATTTTTTTAATTCAAAAAATAAAATAAGATATTGATGAGAATTTTTTATCAATATCATGAAATTTTTATGTCTTTAAAAACAATTCTTAAAAATTTCAATGAATGAAAACCATGATTTTTAAAAATTTTAAATATATTTAAAGTTTCAAAATCATTTAATTTTTTAAAAAAATATTTTTTTTATTTATTTTTTTATTTTTACTTTCTTCATTTTTATTATTTTAAAAAAGAATTTATTAAAAAAAAAAATGATCAATATTAAAAAATTTTTTGTTTTAACAAATTTTAATAACAAATTTCAAATTTTAAAAAATTTTAAAATTTTTTCTGAATTTTAAAAAATAATTTATATTAAATATTAATTAATATTTTAAATAATATATATATTTAAATATTTTTTTTCATTCTTATATTAAAAAATTAAATGAAAAATTTATCAAAATTGAATCTTTTTTTTTTAAATTTTATAAAATTTTATATTATTTAATATATAATTTTAATAAAAAATATTTATAAGATTCTTATTTTTCATTTTTTATTTAATTAAGATTTCTTTTAATTTTATAATTAATCAAAAAAAAAGATAATAATATTTGACAAAATAAACTAAATTTTTTTTTAAATTTTTTGAAATATAATAATTTTTGTTTATAACTTATATATTTATATTTTTTGTAAATTCAATTTTTTTTAATATATCAATTATTTTTATATCCTTTTTTTAAAAATTTAAATTTTTTTTTAAAAAAATGAAAATATTTTTTAAAAATAAAAAAATTGAGATTAAAATTAAATTTATCATTAAATTTTTGTTAAGAAAATTTTTCCTATTTAAAATTTTAATTTTTCAAAAAAAAATTTATTAATTTTATTTTTTTTTTTTTTTTGATAATATATATTGATATATATT